CAGAAAAATGAGAAATTATATCCCATCTGATTCAAATGTATGATATGTCAAGATCATTGTACTGTCATGTGTAACTTAGTAAAACGAATAAAAAATAAATTTAAAAAAATGACTAAATGAGTTCAGTAAATCTTCAATGATACCCACTTACAAATCCATTTGCAATTGTATTTACTAGAACATATAAAAAAGTAATTTTTAAAAATTAAATTATTTACAAATAATTTGATGTACTTGATCTTCAATGATACATAATTTGTTGAAATATATAACATAAGTAACATATGAGGACCATTACCATATTTATGTATTATAGGACTAGGTATTAAAAATATGACAGTTCTGACCAATTTAATCTATAAATTTATTTCAGTTACAAAGAAATTTTCAATAGAGTTTTTATGGGCCCTGAAGTTTACTCCAAAAGACAAAGAATAAATAGAATAATTTTTAAGAGCAATATGGGAACATGTTTTTAAAAGCTACAGTAATTAATTTAAAAATCAGTGTGGCAGAACAAGAAGCTCCAAACTAGAAAATGCATACATGAAATTTTGATAACAAATCTAGCATTTCATCTAAGAATAATTAACAACCTGTGTTAGAAGAATTAGAATTAAATTAGGTCACTTCCTCACATAATACACAGTAATCAAATCCAGACGGATGAAAGATATAGATGTGTAAAGTAAACTTAAAAAATTTATAAACGCATAGGGGAATGATTTTATGTTCTTGAGTTAGAGAAGAACTTCTAAGTCAAGATTTTTTTAAAAAGTAGATCTATATATGCGTGTATATAGGTGTATACACAAAATTGAAAAATCTATGTGGCCTATCATATTTTCCAAAGACAGCAACAGTAAGTATTTCTTATACCCATATGCTCTTCTTACAGTATAACCTTGACACTCCTCCCATTAAGAGGCAAGGTCTAGGTTCCCTGTCTTTGAAAATGGGTCAGCCTTTGTGCCTTTGACCAAAGAATACAGCAGAATTGATACTTTAAAATTCCAAAGCTGGGTCATTCACAACAATACAGCTTACAACCTTGCTTGCTGGTCTAGCCACTCTGGAGACTTGACCTGCCAAGTAAGCAGTCCAGCTTCCTCCATGATGTCACGCTGCGATGAAACACAAACCAGCCCCTACAGAGACATTATGGAGGCACATTCTGAGAGTAAATGAAAAGAAAAGGAATGCCTGGTTGACTTCCTCTGTTCCAGTCCCTGTCATGCCACTGCAACCACATAAGACACTTAGAGCCACAGCACTCAGCGGAGCTTCTCCCAAATTCCTAATCCATAGAAGCTATGGAAGATGGTGAAATAATTGTGCTATTGTTTTAAGCCACTGTTATGGGTGCTCCTTACAGGACATCAGAGACCAGAAATATCTGACTCTAAAAAATTGAAAAACTTCCCTTCATCAAAAATACCACAAAGAGGGGTATTAGCTCAGTGGTAGAGTGCTTGCATGGCATTGTGAGGCCCTGGGTTCAATCCCCAATACAACAAAGAAAAAAAAAAGACCACAAAGAATGGAAATTGCAAGATGTTGCTTGCAACCATACAACCAACAACCCTAGATGCAGTGCATGCAGACAACTTCTCAATCAAAAAACAAGCAAATAAGCAAGTAGAGAAACAGGCAAAAAAATATGAGCAGCCCATTCAAGTGACTAATGCAACAAGAATGACAAACACTATATGAAAAAAAAAAATCTGCCTAATTTTATAGCAAATAGGAAAATATAAATCAAATACAGCAAGTTGGAAAATAAAATTGATATCATTTCAGTACATTATATTACAAAAATCTTTAACTCCAACAGTAACAAACATTGGCAGAATGTAGAGACTGGGGAACTTTCCTGCACGACTGGCAGAAAATCAGTTTAAAGCACTAAAGTTGAAAGACATATATTCTATGACTCAGAAATCTGACTCCTACGTATAAATCCTAGAGAATTTCAACCACCTGTACTGCAGGAGATGTGTATAAAAAAAATATTCATAGCAAAATGCTTTGCAACAACAAAAAACTCCTAACAATCCTGATGTACAACACACACACAAAAAAATCACATTCATATATATGCTTATATACATACACACGAAGTTAAAGTAAATGTATGAGAAAAGAACGCCGAATTCAAAATAATGTTTACCTCTGAGTAGCAGAGAGGCAAGGTGATCATGGAAGGAGAATCTGAGTTGTCTTATTTTTAAGTTGAGTAGTAGATGTGTTAATGTTTGTTTTTTAGCTTTTTGTGTGTGCCTTAAAATTACATAGTAAGTTTGATAGCTTGAAAGACATAAGCCCGACACAGAGAGAAAATGGTTAACACTAAAGATGAAGCTCCAGTGCACTAGCACAGCTGCCTGGAGACTTTGGGTTATCCACAGAAATCCAGACTTAGGCCACAAAGAAGTACTCAGGGCGGTGGGACACCAGAAGTCAGTGGACACAGAGGAGGAAGTGGTGGCTACCAGGATTCTTGCTGGGGACCCTCCAAGGTTGCAGCAAAGTCCATTCTGGGTGCAAAATTCAGACCTTACCTGGCTCCAATCGTCTCTAAGTAAAAGTCTCACCCAGAAGATTCTAGAAAGGTTACCATGGCTCTATGTGATTCCTACACAGAGGATTTGAAAAGGTCAACAACTACAGAAATACTTTTCAGATGATCTCTCATTTTTTTTTTGTTTCAGTGAAAGGTAAAAGAAAAAACAAAAACAGGCCTAGACATCTGGAAACAGTTGACACTTGTGACTAGGCCTCAATGATGTTTGAAGCTGGCCTGTAACTCACAGCTGACAATGTCATTCTCCTATTGGACATAATCTCACAGAACACCAGTATTGGACATGCACACTCAGAATACACAGTAAACTGGGAGAAAACAAGACCTCTTCATAAGTATGTCTAAGCCCAGATAAAACAAAATTACTGTGCAACCCACCAAATACCAAATGTGCCCCTCCCCTAGATAATCTGAGTGGTTGCTGCTGCTTTAACAATTATTGCCCTATTCCTGCTGGAGTCTACCTGCCTATATATAAGATTGAGATGCCCACTCATAAAACTCCTCTGATGCTTGATCAATATAAAGCAAACCTTCACTTTCTTAGACCCTTGTACCACTGTCACCATCAAGGAGTGCTGGGTTCATTATCTCCATTCAGCAAAAAATCGAAGAACAGGACACAGAGATAACAAGCAAGCAGCAGTTTTATTGCAAAAGGAATAAAGATAGGCTTCTCTAAAAAGAAGGCATCCCAGAGCTGAGAATCCAGTGGGAGAGTTTTGGCTTGTTCTTTTTATGGCTTCTAGAGTCTCCACCTTTCCTTATCTCCTCCCCTGTCCGTGCTCTCCTCACTATTATTGATTGGTGTGCATCTGTCCACACATCTCTTTTAGTTTTCCTATTAGAACCCCTGATTAGGAGCACAAGTATAGAGGTGTCTATCTGATTGAGTCCCTTTCTTGTGTCCACCAACACTTACGTCAAGCAGGAAGTTGACCTCATCAGAAAACCCTCTCCATGCTCCTTTGTTCTGACCCTGCCTCCAACCTCCTCACTTGCCCCCTTTCCTGGCTGCATAAGCCCTTCCATATCTCCTTCACATTTATCCAACCAAAACCCAAATCTCATGCTACAGTTGTTCTTACACCCACTTACTGAGAAGTCTCTCTTTCCTTTTAATGTGTGTTCTCCCTCACTGGGATGAGTAAATTACCCCAATTTTTCAACTATGGGTGACTTCCTAGCAGTGTTTGGCTCGATGGTATTGACATTTGCTATGCCTGTCTACAAGAGAAGCCAATTACTACTGACCTGTTAGAGTGAAATTGCAGTTCTCACATCCTTCGAATAGTTATATGACTGCCACTTTGCAGTATGGAAAAGTTTATAAGGACTCGAAATACTGAACACCATTTCACATCATTAGTGTAAGTAATAAACTCCAATTTCACTCAATTTTCTTCCCTTTGATCAAGACCTCAAACATATAATTGCTTCTATTTTCTTTTTCGTCTGAGCTGAATATAAAAATGAATGTGTTAGTGGAGTAGATAGAATTATGTAACTTGTACAAAGGCACATAGCTAGGAAATGTGCCTGACATTCATATCCAACACCACTGAGATGCAGAACCCATACTTTGTCCCTATGCCATCTTAAAGATGACAGAAAGAGATTGTGATGCAGAAAAAGAAAAGAAGGACAGTGCCACCAGAAAACAGCACATGTAGCAACCTGGAAGAGACTCCATCTCTGGGTTCATGACATAGCATGTGGTTGCGATCCAAAAGTATTCGTGGTGGAGGGAGATGCTGAGTGACAATACATCCTAGAGAAATGGTTTGGGAAGATTGGCAGGGTCATGTGTTCGCTAATAACTCTGGACCATAATTTTTAGCCAGCAGAAATTTTAAGCCATAGGTGGAGGCAAGGGTATGAGACAATCAGGGTCATATTTAAAAATGTTAATGAACAGACTGTGAAGTTCAAGGTCAAATAACATGCTGGGTGAGAGATTTCTTGCTGATGGAGACTCTGCAGAATCCTGAGATGATATAGCAAGTTCTCTTTTATAACAAAGTCACTCCCTCAATAAGAGTGGGATGATTGTTATCACCTCCCAACATCTTACCTCTTTATACCTCACAGTGGGGATTAAATTTCAACCTGAGTTTTGGTGGAAGTTGTAAAACTACAGCAAGAGGGGGGCAAACTTGTTAGCCTATAGAAAGCTCATTTTATGAAACCTGTCTTAAAATTACCACCAGATGTAGGAAATTTTTCTCTATCTGCCTCTTCACATATAGATGAAACAGCTTTGTTATTATCTTAATACCTGTGGGTTTTAAACAACCACAGTAAGCTTTTCATAGCTCTGAGAGTATTAATGCAGCTCAACTAAATTATGACTTCTAATTAGGGTTTAATTAAAAATAGAAAACAGCTTGGTTAGAACATGGCTTCCTATGGCTTCTTACAAAGCTTCATCTGCATCTTTGCTAAAGCCTTTCTTGAAGCTCCCTGTAAGCTGTTTAAAAAGACAGAGATTTAAAAAATATTCTTTAAAACCTATGGGTTCTGGAAATACTAGAGAGAAACATTGTAAGAGAATCCTTGAACTTGTATTCATACATTCCTCCCCAAGCCTTTATTAAAGACTACACTCAAAAGAGCAAGGCGACGGGTAATAGGTTTAGTCTACCATGTCAACACTGATCAGTCGGTAAAGACTGAGCAGAATGGGATTTTGAGAAGGCACATCTGGGTTCAGCAGGAAAGTGTCTAGGGAAAGGTTTTGCTAGATTAGCTACAAGAGGGAAGGAGAGTGGCAGACACATCCCAGGTAGTAACTGAACACCGTGAGGCAGTCTCTCCCATCAAAAACCACAATCAAAACAGGAATCACAACATAGCCTTATGAACACTTGGCTTATGTATGTGTCCCAATATTTTAAAATAATCATTCTTCCTGGTATGTGATTCATATTCTAGGGGGTAACATCCAAGTTGCCTTTAGGAGAATTGGATATTCCTATAGGAAGAAAAGCAAGAGAAAGAGTAACTGTGGAGGTTTTATTTTTAACTTCCAAAATAGGTTTCTAAAGCTATTAACAGAAGCAATAGTTCTGAAAGTGAAAAGGGATAGGCTTTGTTGAAAGAAGAAAAGGCTCTGGTGACTCAAAGAAAATTCTGAAAGAGGTAGGGTTTAACAATAGATTGAAAAGACAGTAAGAGATATAGACTGCCCTACGTGGAATTGACATTGGATGGGAAAGATGAGGTGAGATGGGGTTAGCTTGGAGGAAATTGATAGAAAAATAAAGATAGTGGCTTCATGGATAGGAACAAATTTGCTACCCTGTTGGTTTGGAAAGAAAAGTATTAAGTAATATAGGCATAAAATATTCTCATCAAGAAACTTATACTTAGTTTTGTTATTTTTGTACACTGAAAAATATATTGTATGCTGTGTTAATCAAACTAGGACTTACTAAGTATGTTTTAGAAGAACATGACAGAGTCCCCATGATTTGTGAGGACCTAGAAAAGTTAAGGCTGAAGGGTAGCTCAGCATTCAGTCGGAAAAGCCACCTGAGCATCCACATCCACTGGAATTTGGCCATGTGGAGGTCTACAATATCCTTCTAGCTTGCCCCCCTTACATGACACATTTTCCCCGCCCTAATGTTATACAGAGCTTTAGGAAGACAGGTATCTGGATAAAGGAAGGAGAATGAAGTCCTAGGAGAAGAGGATTAGCTGGTCACCATAAAGCAGCCTTGAGCCTCAGTGCTGAGATCATCTTGAACTCCTAGTTGCCTGTCATTACTTCCTCAGGCATGGTCACAACCAAGGTAAGTAAGTGTGTGATTATGATTCATGTTACATACCCTGACTGCTGTTGGCCTTACTGCCTGGAAAGAAATTCCAGAGCTGAGGTCATAAATTATAATTACCACCTATAATCACCATGAATTTGTTTTTTTAAAAAGGAACATTTAAACACACAACAAAATGAAAAAAATTAAAGGTGTCATTTAAATTAACATAACTTTATGAAAAGTTACTATGTATAATATTCTCATTGTCTGCCCTTTGCCTCTCATTAGTAAGAAGGTTGTCTTACATTTTATGCATAAATATTATGGGGAATGCTTTCAGAAGATAACAGCTATAATAAAGGGAGTAAAGCAAGACTGGACCAAAGGTGAAGCTGACCAGCAATAATATTACAGCCGAAACTCATTTGGTCCTTTAGGCAGCTGTGGATCTATCTGCATTCACCCCCCAGAGATATCCCAAATTGAGGCATGAGGTTGATTAACCTCAGGTAAAATGGTTCCCTGAACTGCAGGCAATGTCAGTGAAAGGTATAACTAGGAACCACTGGACACCAACATTTCTAGCACTAGGAATTATGTCAGCTTTGGTAAGAGGAGCTAGAAAGGACCTTAATATACATTATAAGCTTTAGTTCTGTGAAGTTGCCTTTAGGAGAATTGGATATTCCTATAGCTCCATCAATAGAAGCTACTCTCTAGGCAATTCTTCTCCTCTTTGCAAAGACCCAAGGCTAGGTAGGTCTCATCATTCCCCTCCAGTCGACCAGCTCTCAGACTGGAATTCTGGATATGAACTATCTGAGGATCTAGGTTTCACTCAATGTGATAGATGACTATGCTGGGGAGGACCGTATTGGTCTGAATAGCTAGCAGACCTTGAGACCATAAAGGTGTATTAGAGGAATGGGTGGGTTTCTTTTCTTTTTCCTGAGATAAGTGTAAGTCACCTCTGATATTGTAAGGCCAGCCTTGACAATTGTCACATATAATGCAGGCATTATTTGCTGACAAGTATCACCATGAATTTCAGATGCAGGAATATTGGAATCCAGCAGTGGTGGTATGTGCTAATGGGCACATCTGTTCTGTCTGGCACCCTTTCCATTGTCAAAATCAATCTGTCCTTTCCCAGTGTTTGATAGTGCAGCCTCTTTCCTCAATCCGATTACAAAGTCTAAAGGTGTAATCTGGAAGAAAGTTTATTTACATTTTACATAAAATATATAAATACATATGAATTTATTCCTTCACAGTTTTTTTTCTTGCCAGGGTCATGGTGCACATCTGTAATCCCAATGGCTTGGGAGACTGAGGCAGAAGGATCTCAAGTTCAGGGCCAGCCTCAGCAAATTAGCAAGGTTCTAAGCAACTTACCAAAAACCTGTCAAAAATAAAAAGTTCTGGGGATGTGGCTCAATGGTTATACACCCCTGGGTTTAATCCCTGGTACAAAAAAAAAATAGTTTTTTTCTTCATCCATTTTTTCTTAACTTTTAAGGACCTACGATGTCTTTTGCTGAGGAAGTTAATTTGAAATTTAGAAATTATTTTCATTTCACTATTTCTCCTTTGGTTTAGTTAAAGTAAAATCAATACTCTTTTTTTTTTGGGGGGGGGGTACTGGGGATTGAATCCAGGGGCACTTTCTATGGAGCTACCTTCCCCAGTCTTTTTTAATTTTTTTTTTTAACACAGGATTTTACTAAGTTCCTGAAGGTCTCACTAAATTGCCCATGCTGGCCTAGAACTTATGATTCTCCTGCCTCAGCTTCCCAGTCACTGGGTTTACAGGTATGTGTCACCACACCAAGCAATGAAATTGGACTTTTAAAAAATTAGTGAATATAAACTAATGCTGTTTTTCTTGAGTTACTTCCTGTTTTTGATCTAGTCATCTCTCTTGCTCTCTGAACACATATAGAGAGAGATCTTGAGTAATGTTCACCAATTGTTAACAATAGATAGATAATTCTGTGTTGGAATTTAATGTAATTTTTTTGCTTCTCTTATTGTATTTTTCTCTACTGCTTGCATTTTTAAATAATAAACATACATCATCTTGAACAAACAGTGGGAGATAAATGGATAATATTAAAACTCCCGAAGACAATAGAGGAGCAAGAACACAGAGCTCCTTCAAGCCTTACTTCAGTACAAGAAGTTCATCTCCTTATTTTCATTTAATCACTTCAGCCTCACGATATGATGGGGAAAACCACAGAGAGGCAGTCCAGCCTTTGCTGCAAGAAAAAAAGCTGAAAATTGGAATAGTTGTAAGCATGATACTATGAGCTAGGGCTTCTACTTCCATTTCTTGATTTAAATTCTTTATTTACATATTTCCTCAAAACAAGCCTCTTGAAATGAATCTACCCTATGGATAGGAAAATGATGTAATCCAGATGAGCCACCTGCAGGGGTCACACACGAGGCTACAGATTAACACGCTAGTGCAAAGAAGGAGTAAATTCTAATTTAATTAATAGGTCGAAGATTACATCCTTTCTTCGTGTTTCTTCCTCTACATTTGGACTTCTGTTTTTTTTAATTACAAGAAGAAAATAATTATTTTAGAAATCATGGGAAAAAAAGAAAAATGCATATCAAGGAGGAATAAATATCTTCTTCATCTTCCCAGAGGGATTTACCATCAACATTTTATTTTAATTCCAGAGCTTCTTTTTAAGCATTCTGGTTGGCACTTAAGATCAAATTACATAATAAATATGAAACTTCTTTCCCTGTGTGGTACATTTAAGTTTCTTATGAACATAACTCATTATATATATGTAAACACATAAGAGATTGGAAAACACAAATTTAAAAAATAATAAAATTGATCATCCTGCTACCTAGATAGAAACATCCTTGATATACATATTTCCAAACTTTTTTACAAGGATCATAGTATATAAAATCTCTGAACAGTTCTTATTTCATACGAGATCATAAATATCTTATGTATTTCTAAATTTCTGACATTAAAGAACTGAAGTGAAAAACATTTTAAGGAATATCTTTACTCATATTGAACACCTACAGTCCATTATTTCCTTAGGAGAAGTGTCTAGATATGAACTGCTAAGTAATACTGTAATAGCATCTTAAAGGCTATTTATCTATTTCTAAGTCATTTGGAAAGGTGGCACAAATGGATAGTTTTACAAAAAGTAAAAAATATCCATTTTTTTTAGTCTTTACCAATTCTAAATTATTACTATTTTTAGCTTTTTACTCAAATAAGAAGATAAATAATTGCTTGTTGTCTTGATTTGTATGCCTTTGGTTACTATCAAAGTTAAATAATTTTTCATAGAATCACTGATAATATTTTTCTTCTTCTAGCTTTTACTTATCTCTTAGCAAGATTACCCCTTTATATTAATTTGGTATTATTTTTAAAATATCACTACTCGTTTTGCATCCATTTTTCAAAAGTTTAGAAGTATTCATTTTCTTATACAATTTAATTTGCTGGCATTTCAGTGAAGCTATATGATAATTGATGACATAAAGAACTTCTTATCTTTGTTTTCATGAAAAGTGATCTAGCAAAAAAAAAAAAGTGATCTAGCCTTCCAACCTTAAATTCAGCATGCCTGTTAGTTTGGGATTCTTTGTATTATGTAAATTTTCCAATTCTAATCTTAAATTTCATATATATATATATTTGTAGCTGGACACA